TATTTTTTGAATTTTTATTTTTTGAATTTTGTTTTACATATGCATATTCCCTATCTTAAGTGCTTCATTTTTAGTCATAATGTCATCTAACCATTTGTTGATATGACAGTAAAAGATGAGTAAATCTAAAGACTCTGGTTCATCGGCTATGTGGGATAGAGAGGCTACTAATATTTTTTGTGATCTATGCATAAGGGAGGTGAAATTGAGAAATCGACCCACAACTTTTTTTAATAAAGAAGGTTAACATAATATCACAATTAAATTCAAAAAAATAACTGGGAGAGATTATGATAGGATGAAACTAAAGAACAAATGAGATCAATTAAAGAAGGACTAGAAACTTTAGAAAGAGTTTAAAAGGGGATCAACTGGATTGGGATGAGATCCAGTAAAGCGGATAATTGATGCACCTGAGGAATGGTGGGCAGAAAAGTTAGCGATAATAATATCACTAATTCAAGTAAATTTTAGAGACATATGTTTGGAATATTAATTAGAATTTTTTTTGTGATTACAAGTTGTGTTAGGGGCAAAAAAATTCAAAATTACTGGAATTGAACCAGCTTTGGAGGAGAAGTTGGATGACATGTTTACTGGTGTTGTAGCAACAAGAACCCATTTTTTCACCCCTAATGAACAAGGTGTTACAAACCTATTAGAGGATATAGAGACAGAGCAAATAGGTGATTCAGGATAAGGTCTCAGCCAAATCAACGCGGATATCCAATCCACTGGTGGAACAAAGCGCCCCCGACCTGCAAAAAATAAAAAAGGCTTTGCATTTGTTAAATGATTTATTGAGACATTGATTGAAATTTTCAAAAATAATTCCAAAACTGCGAAGGACAACACAATTCATGAGTGTGTTAAGATCCTTAATACATATCTTGACATTAAGGAAGACCGGGATATGTATGTTAAGTATGTCAAGTTGCTAGGGAACTCTACCCAGAGGCAGTTTTTCGAGACTTTAGACCCAAAATTTCGTCTTCCTTACTTGCGCTCTTTTATGAAAGCACTCAAATACGGATATTATAATAATAGATAAAAATGAAAAGAAAATGTTTCCTAAATGATGCTTTTATGAAAAGCGCATATATGTTTCACACATAGACCAATATATATTTTAATTCATTATGTTTTTTGAATTTTGTTTTACATATGCATATTCCATATCTTAAGTGCTTCATTTTCAGTCATAATGTCATCTAACCATCCGTTGATATGACAGTAAAAGATGAGTAAATCTAAAGACTCTGGTTCATCGGCTATGTGGGATAGAGAGACTACTAATATTTTTTGTGATCTATGCATAAGGGAGGTGGAATTGGGAAATCGACCCACAACTTTTTTTAATAAAGAAGATTGGCATAATATCATTGACTATATGAAAAAACTTTTTTTTTGAATGCTATATATGTAACTTCATTGACTATTTGTTTGATGGACACTTGTTGTCATATTTTCTATTTATGTGATGTACTCGTTATGCGTATTGTATTTCTTTCATCCTTCAATATGTTAGCTACATATCGAACTTTGATGTTCACATATGCAAATATCAATGAAATGTGCGGCATGTATGAAACTTTCTTCATATTTATATTGTATGAAGTCAAATTTACATGCACGTAATCTTTGTATATTATTTACTGATATTACATAACTATTTGTTATCTGGTTTAAAATTCTACATTTCTTCCAGATTTTATATTATGGAGGAAGGACAAATTAATCAAATTCGTATTGTCACTTATTGTTACTCTCACCCTTAGGTTGTTATACCATTACTACAACGCATATGTTGATCGAAACCCATGCATGACGTCAAGCAATATCGGAGATAGATGAGTTGGAGAGTTATTGCGTGGTCACCCAACACGTTTTTGTATGACAAAAGTCATTTTCCTTGACCTCCTAAATGAACTTCGGACCCTCCACGGAGACCCTCTACGGACTTCAAGGATCATCAAGAACAACATCTAGAGAGGTGTTGACAATAACACTCTACATTTTGGCCCATAATGAATCGATGAGAGGAGCTATGGAACGGTTTCAACATTCATCCGAAACCATAAGTAGATATTTCTCAGCTTGGTTGAATGCACTTGTGAGTCTGACCTGTCAAATAGTCAAACCAGAGGACCCAACATTTCAGTCCATTCCCACACATATTGTGAATGACCCTCGTTATATATCGTTCTTTAAGGTGCTTCCCATATTTAAATGTTAGTTAATCAAATTTCATATATATGATCTTATTATTGATTAATTGATTCATACCAGGATTGTATCAAAGCTATTGACGAAACACATGTCGACGCACGTCTTTCTGACAAAGAGAAAGTTGTATACATTGGACGATGCAGATCACCAACACAAAATATAATGGTTGTTTGTGATTTCAATATGTGTTTCACATATGTTATGGCTGGATGGGAAGGTAGCGCAGACGACAGCCGCGTTTTCAAGTTTACAACTAGCAACAGAAAATATGGTTTCCCTTATCCACCACTAGGTATGACAATCGTTCTGAGCTTTTGACCATCCAAATTAATTTAAAATTTCTAAATGAAAGAAACTCTTACTCAGGTAAGTACTACTTAATAGATGTCGGGTATTCTATGCAAAAGGGATATTTGAAGCCCTATCCAGATACAAAATATCATATACCTGATTTCGAGAGATAGAGCGAGGTTGCACGAGGAAAGAAAGAAATATTTAACAAAAGACATTCATCCTTGCGTGTTGTGATAGAGAGATCGTTCGGGGTTTGGAAGAAGAAATTGGTAATTCTACGTGATATGCCAACTTATCCATTTACAAAACAAGTCCAGATTGTAGTGACAACAATGACACTACACAACTTCATTAGACGACACCATTCCAGGACAAATGCAGAGTTTTCCGTTATAGAAGAAGATTCATTGCAAATACCACCCGAGGCATTTAAATACCACGTTGGACGTTTTATCCTACAAATCGATATAGATTCACCTGAGTCACAAACCCCAAATTGTGAAGGCGCTTCAGAGATGGCGGGTTTGAGAGAGCAAATAACAAATGACATAAGCCAAGACATTTATATTTGATTACATATTATGTCTTTCGATTATGTTTAATTATTTTCGTCGTATTAAACATACGCTGTAGATGACATCTAAAATTTGGATTAAATATGAGCGAGGAGAAAAATATTTATGGGTGTTTATTATATGTTGTTTGTTGTTTAAGCATGAACATCCAAGTTGGTATATATTTCATGCCATGGCTTCATATTACTTGGCTTCAGATTGCTTGGGGCACACTGATAAATTTCAGTTATCTGTATATATTTTTCAGATTGCTTGGGGCACTTCTTTTTTCCCACAATATGTTGCATCCACTCAACCTTTTAGCTGCACTAGTAAGCAGTTATACTTGAGATGAAACATATCATTTTGTTAGCAGCAGGGGACGAAGTTTCAGATGTCCTTGTCTGTCGATGATGAATCTGTGTAGTTTTAAAATTGTTTTCATATGGTTTAAAAATTGAAGAGTGCATGGGTAAACACAATTAAATATGCTACCACTCATGGTGTCATTCGTTTGTATGAAATTTTTTCTTTTGCATCACATTTGATGGTTCCCCACTCTAAAATCCACTTTTGATAAAACTATGGCTCCAAACAGCTTATCAAGCATCTCATTGGTAAGTTGGATTGAAAAAAATTATGGTATATAGTTGCTATACAAAGTTTGTTTTGTTGTGGTTGAGCTTGTTTAGTTTTGTATGTGACCAAGGTGCATGCAAATATAATTTTTGATGCTTGGTTACTTGAAGCTTGGTTTTGGATTTATGCCGGTTCTATTTAACTCTGTTTGCATACATAGCAATGGAAGCATTGAAGTTATGGATGGTAAAGGATGTTAATTTCTATTCATCTTTCATAGCAATAGAATCACAGTTTTGGTAAAGGAGTTGGAAATTCACCTTATAATGCTATGTATGTAGCTTGGATGACCCTATACATTAAGGGCAACCGCTACTATGGACTGGTTATGT